AACCTGGTCTAGTGGAAGGTGTCCCTGCCTGTGGCAGGGGTTGGAGCTGGAGCAGCTTTAAGCTCCCTTCCAACACAAACCATTCTATGAAGTACATACCACTTTACAGCAAGCAACAGAAGAAATTTGGTGTTAGATACAATTTCGGTAGCTTTTCCTTTGTTTTTTACAGGAATATTATTCAGCAGGGTTCTTGTCCTCAAATACTTGAGATTCTAACCTGAACTGAACTGTGTAACTTATCTTAGGGTTTAGTCTCGATGCACTCAAGTGAAAGTGTCCTTTGTGGGTTGTACTTTATGTACTTGTAGCAACTCAAAGAGCATAACCATATTAACAATAATAAAGGTAACAATTTGCTACTCAAGGAAGGAAAATGCATGGGTAGTCATTGTGGCAGTTGTCTTTGTCACACTTAACATATGGCAGCTTTAAGCAATAAATGAAACAGATGCCACTGTTGAAGTTGTTTGTGTTTGATCCTGCAGGAGATGAGGCAGCACGATGTGCAGGAATTGAATCGGATCCTCTTCAGTGCTTTGGAAACATCCCTTGTGGGGACTTCAGGTCATGATCTTATTAACCGGCTGTACCACGGGATTGTGGTCAACCAGATCGTGTGTAAAGAGTGCAAGAACATCAGTGAGAGACAGGTAAAGGCACACAATGCTCCAGGGGAGGTTTGTGTTCCGTCTCTTGAAGATCCTTTCAAAGTTCTTGGGTCTTTAAACCCCCAAAATCATGACATCTTTCTTGAGTGTCACTGGTGGCCTTGTGAACCTGGGTACTGTGTATTGGTTAAGGCACTGCACGCTTGAACACATGACAATTATGCATGACTTGAAGTGTTGGCTGGCATTTTCGAAGCCACCTACATCAATGTGTGACTCAGAGGTGAAAAAGCAAGTGGTGTTGCATCTTCTGAGTTTACAAGCATTGCCTTTAGTAGATGCAGTTAACAGAGAGCTGAACAGTGAGGTAACAACAGTAAAACATATCTTTTGTGCCTTCTGTAGTTGAAAAAAGGTGGGGTTCACCTTATTTTTCTGTTGTACTTCTGCATAGGAAGATTTCTTAGACCTGACTGTGGCCGTAAAAGGTGTTGCTGGCTTGGAGGAGGCCCTGTGGAACACATACGTAGAAGAAGAGCACTTTGAAAATGAGAACTTGTATCGATGTGGAGCCTGTGATAAACTTGTTGAAGCTTCCAAGGTAATGCACTGGTGATTCTCAGTGTTGAGTTTGCTAACAGGAATTCTGCTTCCGTTGCTGTGTCTGGCTTTGGGCATTGCTTTGGCCATTTCAGAGGACAGGCTAAAAGATCCGCTAGAGCATCAAGAGAAACTTAAACAGATCCATATAATGAAAACTGTGGACATTCTCCCACTTGGGTTCTTCATGATAGGGAAAAATAATGAACAACTGTTACTGTGCACAGGGAAATGGAATCTGTTGATCCAGCTGTTGCCTTGTTCCCCTGACACTAAACAGGTTCTTGCAGTGATAAAGTAATACTTTAGTAGGTGTTTTCAGTATCTTCTGTAGTGCTGGAGCCTTCAGGTGAGTAAGAATGTCTTGATGCAAGGAACCTTGCAGCTCGTCTAACGTGTAGGACACTGGGTATGTTTTCACGGTGTAGGCCTGTGCCACTCTCATCTGCCAGCTTACTTCTGGTATAATCACCACCACTTCATGTCCTTTCTCGCTGAGCTTTTCAACCAGTGGCCGCATGCTAAGCCAGTGACTTCCATCCATGGGCAATACCAGGAGTTTCCCTCCATCTGAGAGGCCAGGAAGGAGGAGGATGAAAATCCAGGCACAGCAAAGTTGCTGTGGTCAGAATAAGGACTGTGAAAGTCTTCTCCTTCAGGATGCAGCTTGAAGATGCTTTTGAAGGAAGCTGCTTTGTGATTCACTGTCTTTCACGTCTAGTGAATGATTTACTGCTTTCATCTGTGCTCAGCTATGGGTGACACCTATTGGGTTTGGGTAGTGTTTTCCTCATTACCTGTGAAGCCAAGTGCAGTGACCCTTTCATGTGCTGAATCGTCAAAGCTTGGTGTTCAGTGGAGAACTGCTGACATTAAGCTTGTGGTGTTTACTGGGACTGGTCCTCCAGGGCCAGGGAAGGGCAGCCCAGTGAGAGCTTTATGGGCCTTGTAGGTCTTTGAATTGCATTTACCCAGAAAAAGTGACATTTGGTTTTCTTCTGTGCTAGTTTTTCACGTCCTGTCCTTTTTTCCTATTATTCCCACTATTTTTTGTGAAGGGGAAGCAGGCACGGGCTATCAGTGCACTCTGTTGTCCATGTATTTTTCCCTCTTCACAAGAAGAAAGCTCTTTGCCCTGCTGCTGTGATCCTTCTGCAGCAGGATGAGTGCAATCCAAACCTTCAGCCCTCTTGATGCGGGAGTGGGCGCAAAGGCAAGCTGAGGGCAGGGGAAGTTAATCAGTCACTCATGGCTTGATTGTAAGGGCTTGGTTGAGTTAAACTTTGCTGGGTTCAAGGGAGTGCAGGCTAAGTTGCTTACCTCTCGCACGCGCTCATCCAGTGGGAGCTCTGAACTTGGATAAGAAGTCACATAGCTGGGGGATGCCAGGGTGTGAATGGACAGGGTCGTCAGAGAGGAGCTGTGCTGAAAGGCTGGAGCAGGAAGGAGGGATGTTGTGTCAGCATGACTGCTGCCTGTGGCTCTGCTGATGCAGTGCGTGTGATCACCTCAGGCTTGGGTGGTAGAGTCAACCCTGGCAGCAGTTGAGGTGGCAACTGGGTCATTCCAGGCTTGGTGGCAGCATTAGGAAGCCCAACAGTGTGCCCATCTGCCCACACCTAGCTTGTTCCAAAGGCAGAATGGCCCATACCAACCCACTCCATTCATCTTTCCCTTCAGTACTCTGTGGGTCTTTGGATGTTGTTCTTCACCCCTTTTTGTCTTGGCCTCTAGAGATATTAGTTTAAGAATCTCATGTTCCAGAGCTTGATTGGATTTCAATGGTACAGTCTGATTTTTCACTCTAAACTTGGAAGAACATGCAGAATCCTTTGTTGCCACTAAGCTCTGCAATGTAGTCTTCACAACTGATGCAAATGGAATACCTAATTCAAGGGGTTTCTGATCCATATGTGTATTCCTGGGAGGCTCTCTGTTCTGTTTGTGCAAGTGGCAAGTTGGATGGAGACATGGGAAAGGCTCAGAAGTGTGTTCATTGAATCCACACTTGCATTCAGAGGTGATAGAAGATGGCTGGTTTTATTCTACACCAGGATTCCTGATGTGCTCATGCCCCAAGTTGTTTGATCTTAATATTTTTCCATATTAAAAGGGATTATGTTGGCTTTCCTACCTTGAAGGTCCTCTTCTGTATAAATGAACTCTTAACACTTGCTTGGTTGCTCTTGTGGATGACTGTAGGGATGTTGTGGATCCAACCTGGCCTTGAACACTGCCAGGGATGGGGCAGCCACAGCTTCTCTGGGCACCCTGTGCCAGCGCCTCAGCACCCTCACAGGGAAGAGCTTCTGCCTCAGAGCTCATCTCAATCTCCCCTCTGGCAGGTTCAAGCCATTCCCCTTGGCCTGTCCCTACAGGCCCTTGTCCAAAGCCCTTCACAGGGAAGAACTTCTTCCTAAGATCTAATCTAAATCTTCCCTCTGCCAGGTGGTGGCAGGGGCTGGGAAGATGCTGTTTACTCTGACTTCACAAACTCAGGGGCTTGAGGCAGTTGCTTCTTAGGGAAGACTCAAGAAAATCCTCACACCAAAAACCTGGGGGTTATGGAAATTTTGTTAGTGAGTAGGATTTCAGCAACGTCCTCCTTCCTCTTCTGTAGCAGGATGAAGGATGGAAGTGGTGATCAACATTCAAGGGAAGTGTAGAGCTTGACAGAGGGGAAAGATCTGGATTGATTTTAGGATGTGTGGTTGGTAGGGAAATTGGAATAGGGAATCGAGAAGGCATTTTTAAACTGAATACACTTCCTGCTTGTGATGAAGCTTTGCTAAAGACTAGTTGAGCACAGCAAGGTGGATGCCTTCTTTTGTTCTAAGTGTGCTGACGGCGTGTTTCAACTGCTTTCCAGTCTGCTAAACTGCGCAAGCTGCCACCCTTCCTCACCATCTCCCTCCTGAGGTTTAACTTTGACTTTGAGAAGTGTGAGCGATACAAGGAGACGAGCTGCTACACGTTCCCCAGCCAGATAAACCTGAGGCCTTTCTGTGAGCAGGTTTGTACTGTCACACTTGTTGAAGTTTCTATATACTCAGCTGGGAACCAGTATCTCGAGGTCAAGTTCTCTTTCAGCTGGCATTTTGTGTTCGAGAAACTTTGTGGGCTTCTCCTCTGTCCTTAGTTCTAAATCTTTGGAATTCCAGTTTGTTTTCAAAAGGCCACTTTCTGATTGAGTGGGAAGTACCTTGGAGCTATGTGAGGGGAAAGGGTGTAATGATTACCTAGAGCTTAGTCTGACATTCCCTTGAAAGGAAGATTATCACCTGGAAATGAAAACCAGTTGCTTTTTGTTATTGTTTAATAACATCCTGGAGGAATTTAACTATATTTTAATATGGTTTCTGTGCTTGGAGTTAGCTAATTTTTCTGAAGGCTCTGTCTTTGCATCATATCTCTGTATTTTGATTATAAATAGAGCTACACTGTTGCTTGTTGACAGTTTTTGATCCCTAAAATACATAAAGAATGTCCTTAATGGAGGCACTGGTATTGAAAAAGGCATTTTCTCACGAGATATCTCTCATGAGATATTGCAGGGCAAGCTTGGAAAGTTCTCAGTGTTTGCATCTGAGGAAGGTCTTCCCCCCACCTCCATGTGCTTTGCATATATAAATGTGTTGCTTGTTTTTCTCTAGTCTGTTCCACAAAATAAGCCTGGTTTAGAACACACAGGTTGAGGTATTCCATTATTCACAGCAATATGTCCTTGTTTTAAACCTTGGATTTCCAATCTTGTTCAGAATCATGCTTAGAAGGTTGCTTAAAAAGCCTGTATCTTGGTCCATGGTTTGTGTCAGTCCATACTTGTGTACCCCAGTGCTGAAGAGCCATTTACATCTCTGCACATGCAAATGCACCTTGAGAAATACCTGAAGCGATGCTGATGGTGTAAAAGTGGCCTTGTGTGAAAGACTTACTGATGTGTTATTGTTACTGTTATTGTTTTTCTTTTTAAAGACTGAAATGGATGATTCAGAGTACATGTATGAGCTCTTCTCTGTTATTATACATAAAGGTGGCTGCTATGGAGGACACTATCATGTTTATGTGAGAGATGTGGATGAACTAGGAAACTGGCAGTTACAAGTAAGTCCTGGAGGGTTTTTTTCTACCTTGCTTGATATGTCTCATTTTTCAGAAAAGCATTAGGAGGTAATGGATGAAATGTACATCCAAATAATTAATATTTGAGTGAGGCATTTGGTCTCTTCCCTCATGGAGGAGGCTCATTTTCCACAGTGTACAATGTCTATCAAGAGTTTGTAGCAAACTGTAGCTTTCTGATTTGCTGAAGTGTCTCACATAGTAATCATAGGATCCCAGCCTGGTTTGTGTTGAAGGGAGCTTAAAGCGCCTCCGGCACCAACCCCTGCCACGGGCAGGGACACCTTCCACTAGAGCAGGTTGCTCCAAGCCCCTGTGTCCAACCTGGCCTTGAACACTGCCAGGGATGGGGCAGCCACAGCTCCTCTGGGCACCCTGTGCCAGCGCCTCAGCACCCTCACAGGGAAGAGCTTCTGCCTAAGAGCTCATCTCAATCTCCCCTCTGTCAGGTTCAAGCCATTCCCCTTGCCCTGTCACTCCAGTCCCTGATGAAGGTCCCTCTCTGCATCCTTGTAGCCCCCTTCAGACACTGGAAGCCGCTCTGAGGTCTCCACTCAGCTTCTCTTCTCCAGGCTCAACAGGCTCAACATTGGCTCAACAGCCCCAGTGTTCTCAGCCTGTCTCCATACAGGAGCTGCTCCAGCCCCTGATCATCCTCGTGGCCTCCTCTGGACTTGCTGCAACTACTCCATGTCCTTCTTATACTGAGGACACCAGCCCTGCACACAGGGATGCAAGTGGGGTCTTGTTCTCAAGCTCAGGTTTTCTTTCCCACATGAACTCCTATCTGTGCTCGAGACCAGCACAGTTATTGTAGTGGATGTCTCCAGATGGCTCTTTGTAAATACCACAAATGGCTTCTGTTGTTTAAGAGAATAAATATAGATTCTGAATGCCAGTATTCAGTCCATAGCAGGTGGCAGAGGCAGCTTATCACAACTTCTTCCCACTCTGAAATTGGGTCTGCCTTTAATACAGACCATAATCAAACCCCACTACTTGCATGTGAAACAACGGTATTTGTGAGTCCCTTCTTTTTCTTTTACAGGAAGAAGAGAATAAGGTGATTGAAGAAAAGGCTTCAAGAGATACTGAAAATGCCAAAGAAATAGAAAATCCATTGGCAGTCTTTAAAGGGATTTTGTCAGAGGTATGGTATGTAAAGAGTTTATTCCTTTGGTTTTGATATTGGGGAACCTAGGAGGTGGTGGTAGTGTATGCAGAAGTGGGCAGGCTTAAGTGTACAGAACTCTTCTGAACATTGTGAAGCATTTAAAACTTGTAACTTCACCTGCCTTAGTACTAATAAGTGGTTCTTCATGCACTAAAGGGCCCTTTTTGAGTATTTCTCAAGTGCTTACTTAAGCTGTAGCAAAAGGTGATGTGACATCGGCTTATTAACTAGCAGGAGTGATCGAAGCACTTCAGAATCAAGATCCCTTGGCTTTTGTAGCCTTTGTTATCCTCATTCCCAATTATTTTTTTGTAGGAAGAATCTAAACAACTTCCTGTGGATCAATTGGGGCAGAAATTACTGGAGAAAAAAGGGGTGTCCTGGAATAAGAAGTACCGGAAGCAGTACGGAGCGTTGCGAAAGGTAACGTGCACGTGTGTGAGTTTCTTTTGTGCTGTTAACATCACTTCCCATTTCTGTTCCTATTTGAGTAGTCAGTAGGAGGATAATTGCAAGTGCTGGTCCTTGGACTAACAAGGTAGAGCATGTGTAAGAGAGGCCCCTCTACTCTGCTCTGGTGAGACCCCACTCGCAGCACTGTGTACAGTTCTGGTGTCCTCAGCTTAAGAAGGACATGGAGCTGCTGGAGCAAGTCCAGAGGAGGCCACCAGGATGCTCAGGGGCTGGAGCAGCTCCTGTGTGGAGACAGGCTGAGAACACTGGGGCTGTTGAGCCTGGAGAAGAGAATCTGTGTGGAGACCTCAGAGCAGCTTCCAGTGTCTGAAGGGGGCTACAAGGGTGCTGGAGAGGGACCTTCATCAGGGGCTGGAGTGATAGGACAAGGGGTGATGGGTTCAAGCTGAACCAGGGGGAGTTCAGGTTGGATCTAAGGCAGAAGCTGTTCCCTGTGAGGGTGCTGAGGCGCTGGCACAGGGTGCCCAGAGAAGCTGTGGCTGCCCCATCCCTGGCAGTGTCCAAGGCCACGTTGGACACAGGGGTTTGCCTGCCTGTGGCAGGGCTTGGAACTGGAGAAGCTTTAAGGTCCCTTCCAACCCAGACCAGTCTGGGATTCCCTGAAATACATGTGGAAGCATCATAAACCCAAGTTTGAAGCAGTGGGGTTTGTGTCTCAATTTGAGGATGAATCAGGTGAAGTAGATAATGCAGGCTGTTTATATTGCAAACTGGGTTCCTTTTTCATCTTGTCTTTGCTTTTGTTTTAGTATTTGCAGAATCATCCTCAGATATTTCAGTTCAGTCCTGATGAAAACAAGGTTGGTCTGAAGGAAAAACACAAGCTCATGTTGAAATCAGATTTTCAAGGCCAAGATCTCCAAAGCCTTCCTCAGAAGAATGATGTCCAGTGGGATTCAGAAAAAACCCCTCCAAGGCTAAAGGACAGTTCTGCAGGTTGTCATTGGTTTGATCTGAATGATTCCAAAGTTCAGCCGATCAAGGAAAAGGATATTGAGAAACAATTTGAGGGGAAAGAGAGTGCCTACATGCTGTTTTATCGCAAATCTCAGTTAAAAAGACCACCTGAAGGTACACAGAGCTCATCTTGATATTCTGGGGGCTTCCTTCATTGGCATTTGTTTTCGGGAGGGCAAAGGCTGTTGGGCATTTCAGTGCTTTGCAAGAACTGAAGATACAGATTTCCTTCTAGTGAGCATTTGAAGAAAGGGTCAACTGAAGAATACAAGGTTACCTCCAAAGAGGTGGTGACCAATTAGTTGGCTGTAGCTGACTTTAAGCCAGGTTGGACGGGGCTTGGAGCAACCTGCTCTAGTGGAAGGTGTCCCTGCCCGTGGCAGGGGTTGGAACTGGAGGAGCTTTCAGGTCCCTTCCAACACAAACCATTCTAGGATTCTAACATCTCTTCCTTCATGAATCGGTTTCCCTTAAGGAAAAATTGCTGGGATGAAGTAAAAGCACTTGTTTTTATCATCTTGCAATTTAAAGTTCTCTCTTAGGAAAGGATGTGATGTTATTGCTCTGAATTATCAATGATTACCATATTATAATGTCTCATCTTGTTCAGTTGTTTGCCAAAACACATGTCAAGCAGCTGAGGTGAAACTAACCTATGGTGTTTGTTGCAGCTCGAGGAAATCCGAGGTACAAAATACCCACCCACCTTCTGAATGAAATGAATGCTGCTAATACTGAGCTGCAAAAGAAGAGGTATATTGATGTGACTGTACCAATCTCTTAACAGCATTCTTCATCTGCACATCTCCAAAGGGACTTAAATTGAATGAAACTCAGGATAGAGCCAGATGCAAGAGAGTAGTTTGAGATGAGCTCTGAGGCAGAAGCTCTTCCCTGTGAGGGTGCTGAGGTGCTGGCACAGGGTGCCCAGAGAAGCTGTGGCTGCCCCATCCCTGGCAGT